TCCATGCCTTAGGTTTCGTTATCTGTAAAATTATCATACCTACCCTCAGAGATTTGTCAGATCTGCTCTTATAAAAGTGCTTACAGGTAAATGCTTTGTGTGTAACTGAAAATTTAAAAAAAAGACTTGATGGAATCTATTGGCAGAATTTTACAGATTGGGTATGGAAGATGAGGGAGAATGTGAGTCAAGAGTCAAGATATAGTTTTCCAGTTTGAGTAGCGAGATGGGTAGTGGTGTTGCTCAGAAAAGTGGCTTGGGGGAGCTGGGGAAAAGTGGCTGGGGGAGAGGCTGCAAGGATGCCACTCCTTTTAGTACATAGTACAACAGTCAAATGTGATAATTTGAAGGCAAGAAATGTAGCAAGCGTGAGCCGGGGTTGTGGCTCAGTGGTAGAGTACTTGCCTAGCATGTGTGAGGCACTGGGTTCAATTCTCAGCACCAAATATAAGTAAATAAATGAAATAAGGTCCATCAACAACTAAAAAAACTTTTTAAAAAAATGTAACAAGCTTAAAAGCCTTACCAAGAACACACCCCTCTCAGGGTACAGGATCCTTGAATGGTCTCCCCATGATGTTTCGTAGTTAACAGACCAGTCACTTTTTTCTTTTTAATTTTTTTTTTTTTTAGTTGTAGTTGGACACAATACCTTGCCCCACTTTTTTCTCTTTTTGAAGTGTATCCTGCATTTTTCCTGTCCTTATTCTCCCGCTATATATTAGCTCCTGTATATTAGCTTGGTAGAAGGCATATAATGAGATTCTAGAATTCTATTCAATGTGTGACTACTGGGGACTTGTCTCTCATAAATATATTTTTCTTGAAAAGAGTAAGGTCCTGTGTTCCTTCAACCCTGTCACTGCTAGGGATTGAATCTAGACTCTTGAACGTGCTGGGCAAGTACTCTACTATTGAACTACATCCCCAGCCCCAAATACTTAATCATTGAAATAGGAATTCATGGTAACTATTAGTTATTCATAAATATTGACTCCCTTCTGGGCAAAAAGTAGGCCTGCAGTTCCATGCAGAGCTTAAGCTGGGTGTGGTTGTGTCTAGCTTGGTCCATTGAAAACAGAGGACATGTGTCAATTTCAGGTGAGTTTCCAAAACCAGTACCTCTTTCATGACACTATTTTCTTGGTTCTCTCACAATGGCTGTCCATGTTCCAGTACTGCTGTCAGCCTAGGTGAACGACTGATTTAATTCATCACATAAAGGATCTTTTTTTTTTTTTTTTTTGGTACTAGGGATTGAACCCAGGGGCACTTAACCTTTGAGCCACATCCCCAGCACTTATTTTTGAGACAGGGTAGCTTAGGAACTCGATAAGTTGTCAAGGCTGGCTTTGAATTTGCAGTCCTCCTGATTCAGTCTCCCAAGCTGCTGGGATTACAGATGTGCGCCACTGAGCCCAGCACATAAAGGATAAATCTTTTAAATCAATTAAAAATATTTTTTGTGTTTTAAGGCAATACAACCAGCCTGTTCTGACTATAAGAGAAATGAAGAAATCTAAAAATTCTGTTCCCTATACTTTTCCTCTCAGCTCTGAAATGTCTCCAAGACCACTAGGCTAACCTTAAATCTCCCTACCAGGTCACCTTATGGTCAGGTGCAACAAAGTTACTGCTTCTAGCCTTCTCTTTAATCAACCAAAATGGATTTTCTCAATTGCCCATTCCATCAAGCTTACAACCCCTCTGTGGCTTCTGGTTCACCCTTAGCGATGATCCCAATGTTTTCATATGGCTAGCAAAGCCAGATCAGCACTACTTGTGACTTCTACCCTGGTCTCTGCTAACCTTTTTGGATTCATTTCACTACTGCAACCCCTTCAAATTCCATGTCGTGATCATATTCTGATGCTGTTTCTCAAACTGGCTGGTTTCCTATAATTCTTGTGTCAACTTTCCCAGCTGTTGTGTCTGCCACCCTTCAGATCTCACATATTTCCTCAGGAAAGCATTCCCTCCCCACCCACCCCCACCCAGACCATCATAGATATACTCTAACAGGCGACACTTCCAATATAACTTAAAAGGTTCCTACTGCTTTGGATCAGTTTTGGGGCCAGACTGTAGCTTCTCTGAGGAGCATCAATCGTGTTTATTTTGGGCAATGGATATGTATTAATTCCCTTAAATGATCCTAGGAGATAAAAATTCATATTTTGTTTTAATTTTTTTTAACAACAATTGAGCCTCAACATTTTCCATTATAAATTTTTCCTTCCATTTTAATGATCCATGTACTTACCCACTTATAAGATTTTCTTTAGGATTATCTAGTAGTCACATTAAAATGAAAAAAATTTAAATAATGTATTTAACTCAATGTATCAAATACCAATATTACCCAGTACATTAAAAATAATTTTAATATGTAGTCAAAATTAAAAACTAGTGAAAAAACTAGTGAGATTATTTTCTCTTCTATATACTAAGTCTTTGATATCTGATATTTTATACTAACAGTACATCACAACTTGGGCACTAAATTTGCAAAGGTTGAAGTGAAATGTAGTTTCCCTAAAACAATAAGTTTTAACAGAAAAATACTTTCTTATTAATTATAGATGGACATTTTTATTATTTTTTAATATATTTTTAGTTATAATTGGACACAATACTTTTATTTATTTATTTTTATGTGGTACTAAGGATCAAACCCAGTGCCTTGCATGTGATAGGCAAGTGCTCTACCACTGAGCCAAGAACCCCAGCCCACCACCTCAATTTTTACATTAAAGTTTAACAAACAATAAATTCAGTTCTTCAATTGTATTAGATATATTTCATGTGCTCAATAGCCACAGTACCATACCAGAAGTGTGGATATATATTATCTCCTATAATCAAAATTTTTCCTCTTTATATTACTCATATTTCCCTAAACTTTCTGAAACCCGAATAAGGCGCATATATATATTTTTTAACTGGGAATTGAACCCTGGCGTACTTAACCACTGAGCCACATCCCCAGGCCATTTTATATTTTGAGACAGGACCTCACTAAGTTGCTGAAGCTGACTTTGAACTCGCCATTCTCCTGCCTCAGTATCCTGAACCACTGGGATTGCTAAGGACAATAATAACTGAGTCACTTGTTTTGAAGTATCCTATATGTAAACATACAAAGCTGCAATTCCCATCATTGATCCCATCCAACATTTGAACTTTGGAACATTTTTGAAATGCCATGAATGATGGTGGTGATGCAAGAATAGGAGCTGATGGTATCTAAGGGAAATCATTCTCTGAAATCTACCTCTAAAAGATTATAACATTACATTTAAAAAATGTTTTGAAGATTAAATACTTGTAAATACTTGTGTGTGTGTATATATATATGTGTATGGTAATATGGCTATGGTGGTTTAAAAAACATGTCCACAAATTCTTTGACATCTCTCCCTTCAGGAGATGCTTAATGCTCCTCCCCTTTGAGTGTGGGCCAGATATAGTGACTCAATTTTAATGAGAACCTAGGGAAGTCTAAGATTAAGTTATTTAGAAGACTGTGTTTTTCATATTGGACAAATGATGTCTTGGTTCATTTGCCCTAGGGGAAGCCTATTGCCATATTATGAGCTGCGCCATGGAGAGACTCACATGGCAAGGAATTGAAGGTTTCTGTCTTAACTCTTAGTAAGGAACCAAATTATTTGTCTAACAGACTGCCAGAAACTGAGGGCAGTCAATTACCACATCAGTAGGGATGGAAGAGGATTTTTTTAACTAGTTAAGTATTCAGATGACTGTGGCCTGGGTTAACTCTAACCTGAGACCCAAAACCAGAATTACTGAACTTAGCTACTTCTAGATTGCTGACCTGCAAAACTGAGATAATCAATATTTGCTTTCATCTGCCAAATTTTGGGGTAATGTGTTATTCATATTCACATGCAGCAATGGATTAAAGCTTATAGTTTGAAAAGCTCCCCATTGCCAAATGAAGCATAAATTAAGGTATTTGTCACAAAGCAACCCAAAATAAGCATATCCTAATATCTGTTTCTACAAGTGATATACTAACTAAAATCATGGTGTTACTACTCAGTTTTTTAATTAAGCCTCAGAATATGAATCCTATTTGTTGGAATTTCCTTAATGTTTTGATTCAGCATTTAAAGGTACTTTGGTTATTTGCAGTAAATCTGATAAATAAGTAAATGTGTTTATTATTGATCAAGTGGAAGTCACATTTCTAAAGCAAAAGGTTTATTTTTATAGTTTAAGAAAATACAAGTCCTAAGAATGTATGATATAATGCCAACACAATAAAAATTAGCGTACATTCCTAAAACTAGCAAGATAGTACTAATCTGTGTGTATTATTACTATTATTTTAATATTTATTTTTTAGTTATTGGCGGACACAACATCTTTTGTTTTTGTATGTGGTGCTGAGGATCGAACCCAGGCTGCACACATGCCAGGCGAGCCCGCTACTACTTGAGCCACAACCCCAGCCCCTGTGTGTATTATTTTTAATATTCCCCTCAAGGGTCACTGCTTTATAGTTATACCTCATAGGAAGGGCAAAACCATGATATACATTTCATTTGAAATCACTTCATTTATTTTTATTTTATGTTTTGCAATATTGAAGAATGAACCCAGGAGTGCTCTAGTGTTGAGCTACATCCCAGCACTTTTTATTTATTTTGAGATAGTATGATTGGTTGCCCAGGCTGGTCTTGTACTTGAGATCCTCCTGCCTCAGTCTCCCAAGGTGCTGGGTTTACAGGTGTGTGCCACCACACCCAGCCTTACCTCTACAATTTAAAAGCTGTTATTTCTGGCACAGAGGGGGAAAAGGGAGTTGGTGGGGAAATATTCTTTGGAATTAGAAGAAATGACCACTAGATGTCACTGTTGCTTTTTTTAAATTAATAAGTCAAAAAGCAGGATCAAACAATAGAATCAATTTTCATGTCATAACTAACTCTGGGATAGAAATGATCAGATTATGTCAATAAAGAGCCAAGACCTATTTTTCACTACACATAAGTTTATTGTGAAAGTAAAACATGTAACACACAGAATGGCTAATGGTGGCATAAGCAATCTGGTAGCTTAAGGCAAGTTTTGATGGAGATGAATTTAGAAAAGCTGATACAATGATGTAATTTTGCTTAAATATGGATTATGAAAACATATCAAATTGCATCAATAACTTAAAAAAAGTAGTTTTCAAGGCCTGAACTACTGGAGAAAAAGGGGCTTATAATCTTAATGCCAGCATTAAGACAGACAGAAGCAACACAGTACTAAACGACACGGGGAAATCCAGTATTTACAGAAGAATGGCAACAGGAACATTTATTTATTAACATTTGATCTTATACTGGTGGACTAAAAGCCCTTAGCTGGAAGCAATAGAGAAAAATGTACCATCATCATGTTATTAAAAAAATATTAAGTGCAGAAGTCAAAAACCAAGGAGCTCTGTGATAAAGTAACCTTAAAACACCACTGTAAGGATCACTTAAAAGGCGATTCCCTCAGGGGAAATTAGGGCACTGAGTGTGTAAACATGTGAGCTGCACAACACCAAATACCAACCAAATTCATTCATAGTACTTAGTTACACAAGATCAGCATGGTTTTTTATGATGTATTACTGTTTATAACAATTTAAACACACTCCTTACCATGCATGACTTCAAATATATAACAAATATTTTTTATTCTGATACAGGATATCTGTTTATGAATTAAAAGACCTATATACATTGAAAATCACACCTCCTTCATCAATCAAGTATATTTATATGCTTTTTAAATGCAATGACCTTATTCAGATTTCATTTTCTGAATTGTGTGTCAGTTTTTCTACTCTTCAAAATAATGCCATTTTGTTATGATAAAATACATTTTTGCAAAAATTCAGAAATGTATTAACATTTAATGAACATGACCATGAAAAGTATTTGTAAGTTTGTGCCAAATGACTCAGCACTTTCTTCCAGTCTTGTATTAAAAAAAAAAAGTTGCACCCAATTTGACAGTAAGCCTATTTAAAAAATATTCTTAACTATTCATCTCAAAAGGTGCTAATAATAGTCCTTTTGCAAAATACCATATATAATTGTGAATGTTTTCCCCCAGAATAAAGAAAATGTATCCTCTGCACAGATGAACATTTTCTAAGACTAATCTTTCATTACCCAGTATTGTTTTTACAAAAGCATGCACTATAAAACACATAAAAGCAGCTATCTTAAACATGATTTTAATACAATATTACCTTTGTAGCTGATTCATCACTGTCTCCAGTTTAATATGTTGTTACATACATAAAGAAGCTCCAGTATCCCTTTTGATTGATTTAAAAAAAAATCCCTGAATAAAACAGAAGCCAGCCTGTGACTTCTTTAGGCATTTCAGTAGAATGTTATCATCTATGGAGAATATCTCCACCCAAACTCATGATTACAAAGCAGAATCTAAAACACACCTGGGGCAGATTACAGAGTTAATAAAAATTTAAATTTTTTATGTTTAAAAAGGAAAGAAAGGGTGCTCATTATTAGCATTTAAAAGGATACTGCAACTTTAACAACTGTAAACTTTGTGGTAGAAGGCTGTGGCAGACAGTTCTATGCTACTAGGTTTTCAGCTTGTAAATAATGCAAACGTATCAACAATTTTTAAATGCAATAGACAATAAAAACAAAAGGAAATGCAGGAAAAAAGAAACAAACAAACAAACCAAGACTGCCTATTTAAAAAGAAACTGTAACCAACACATCTAAAAGTATATTAAAAAAAAGCAACTGATTAAAGAAAGCCCTCTGGATTAAAAACTTAAATTTGTTTTAAAATGACATGAACTTTAAATTAGAATGGAGGAAAAAAGAGCTTTACAAATTGATAGTTTCAACTGAATTAAAATAATGCCAACAAGGTAAGCTTGCATAGAAAAAAATTTGAAATTATTACTGGCTACATGCTTTAAAAATTAGAAATGTAGGTATTATAATCATAGTGCAAAACCATGGCAGTTTGTGATGTCTTTTACTGCCTTAGGTTTGAGAAATAGACCGTAGTACCTCCAGTTATCACAGTTTCTGGTCTTATAATGAATTATTTCTGCCAACTAGAAGCAATGTGTTTGTAAAGATGGGCAGCACATTTGCTGTGCTACTATTAACGAAGTTTGAGATCATCACCACCACCTAAATTGGAACCAGGACTAGGGTCTTGTTGTCTTCTTGCCTGAAATGACAAAATTGTAATTTGGGGTTAGAAAGTGGTTTAAAATCAAAATGCCAGATATATAAAATATGACATATAAAATATAAGCCAGTTACATATAATTTCCCAAAAAACTTTTCAATCAGTATCTGGCAAAAGAACAATTAAAATTACATACAACATATTTTGCTAAATTTCTTTAAAAGTCAAGAGTAAAGACCATTTTATTTTCCAAAGAGCATTATCATAAATATGTACTATGAATAAAAGAATAAAGAATCTGTTTCAGTTCAGGAACTAGAGGGTTTAACTAACATATCAGCATAGCCAATAACCTTAGAAACAAACTTTTCCTTTTAGCAATAGTTGACATTTATTGAGCACTAACTATATATGCGAGGCCCTGTTGAGTATTCTCCATGAAAGAACTAATTTAATCCCTCCTGTCAATGGTAAGATATATGTGCTATTATTTTCCCTCATTTCACAGATAAAGAAATGGAGTCACAGTAAAGTAAATGGTCTATTGATTATACAACTGTAAAATATAACAATCCCATCTCTGAAGTAAATTTTAGAGATCTCTACCTTAAGAAATAAAATTCAGAATTACTATGAATAAAATTTGTCTCATAAGTAAAAATGAAAATCTGGTATGCTTATAATACCCAGAAGTATCTTTATAAAATATTTAACAATCAAGAGGCTTGACAATTATAAACACTGAGGATTTTAAGGTTCGCTGCAGAATGAATGAACACCCTATTTAAACCATCTATGGCAAACTGCCTAATAGAGAACATTTATAAATGTCACTATGCATGACACACTCTGTAATATATAACATAGTGCTCCTTTTATCTACATGCAACAGTTTATTTCAGTCTCTTTCACAAATTCTAATGGGAGTTTTTCCACAAGCTTTCTTGAGTGCTTCCAAATGCTGGCCAAGTACAAATATCTATTTGTATACAGAAGTTGGTCCCTCCAACACAAGTTTTCCTATGGTAGATAATGGCAACACCATTTTACTGTTAAACTCCTAACATGTCTTTCTTTCATACCCAAGAGTGAATTCTTTTTTGTTTGTTTTCTAAATACTGGGGACTGAAACCAGGGGCATTCTACTACAGAGCTACATATATCCTCAGTCATTTTATAAATTTTTTTTGAGAGATTCTCACTAACCTACTGAAGTTGGCCTTTAATTTGTGATCTTCCTGCCTCAGCCTCAGCATGTGTCACTATGGTAGGCCCCAAAAGTGTATTGTGATGGCTCTACCTTTAAAAATATCCATAACCTAACCACTTCTGACTCTCTTTAACATTCTCACCCTAGTCAAAGCCACCATCATGTTTCACCCGGATATTTTTTTCTCAGACAACTGTTATAAACTAATCCAGCAGCAGAGGCTATCTGCAACTACCTGTATAATATCTTTACCTAAATGGAACTGTATACCAACTAATTCTCCATTGTCTGTGTCATTTTTGAAAACTACCAGAAATCAAATTCTTAAGATCTAAAACAGTTATTTTATTAGAGAAGAAACATCTTTGACCTTCAAAACAAGATCTCAACAAATCACATTTGTGTAAGATCAAGTTTGTTGCTTTCATTTTTAGGCACTGGGAACTGAACCCAGAGCCTTGTGTATGCTGAGCATGCATCTACCACTGAGCTATACCCCCAGCTCTGAGATCAAGTTTTGTCAGAAGCTCCAGCTGTGTCATCTTTTAAGAGGGTTTTGTTATTTAAACAAAAATGACAGCCTCCTTATTTACTTTCGAACAAAATCCAACACTCATATCTTTGATTTTCCTTAAAATTTGATGTATTCCTCTAGCAGATTTTAACTATTTTTTGTTAGCAGACACACAATGACTAAATATTAGCACATTCTTTTCAATTAAATACTTAAAGTTATGGAGCACAATCCCAGACTAAAAGAGCTATGGATGCATATGCCTCAAAAAAACAATTATGTTCCATACAGAATCAATGCTATGTATAAGGACAGATCAATTCTGCAGAATCAGAGATGGTGATATAAGCATCTGGTTTCAGTCAATGAAGGTTAGAAAGGGGCTGAGCAATGAAGAAACACCGAGAAAAATCAATCCTAATTACGTATTTATAAATCACTACTAACCTACCAATAATACTTTGGGAAAAGAACAGTTCAGCTTTTGTCTTGGGTAAGAGTAATTTTCAAATTATATTAATAATAATTGGATGACTCCAAACGAGCGACAAGGAATAGTCCCCAGCAGTTAGAGGTTTCTCTACTGGTCATGGCTACACATAAATATATATATATATATATATATATATATATATATATATATATATATATATATATATACATATATATATATATATATATATATATACATATTTTTTTTTACATTATCATATTTTTTATAAAAACGTGACCTTAGGCATATTTCTTATCCTCTCTTCATTTCTATTCTCACATTTCTTAGCCTCAGTTCTTCAAAAATGGAGATTCACTCAGGTGCAATGGACCACACCTGTAATCCCAGCAGCTCAGGAGGCCCAGACAAGAGGTTCACAAGTTCAAGGCCAGACTCAGCAACTTAGTGAGACCCTTTCTTAAAATAAAAAGAAAGGGGCTGGGGATGTGGCTCAAGTGGTAACATGCTCGCCTGGCATGTGTGGGGTGCTGGGTTCGATCCTCAGCACCACATAAAAATAAAATAAAGATGTTGTGTCCACCGAAAACTGAAAAATAAATGGTAAAAAATTCTCTCTCTCTCCTCTCTCTCTCTCTTTAAAAAAAAATAAAAGAAAAAGAAAATAGGTAGCTGGGGGTTGGGGCTCAGTGGCACAGTGCTTGTGAGGCACTACATTCAATCCTCAGCACATCAAAAAAATAAATAAAAAAATAAAGATATTGTGTCCATGTATATCTAAAAAAATATAAACAACAACAAAAAATACCAAATAGGGATAGGGATGTAGCTCAGTCATAAAGCACCAATAAGTTCAAATCCCAGTATGGAGGGGTAAAAATAAAAAGAATCAAGTGTACAGCAAAAATTAAAATGTATAGCACCTAGCACACAGTATGCACCTGTGCTGTCACTGTTAAAATTGCTCATCACTTCCCAATTTACCTATGTGAACTTTTAAAATAACATTCTAAATGCTTAGAACAACAAGCACATCCTGCAGATAGAGTAATTTTTATAAACTAAGTTGTAAAAGAAAACATTTATCCTTTCTATGATAAAAGCAAATCGAAACTAGAAGAACACACCTCTTCCTTCTTCCTACCTCAATTATCTTCTTCCACCTCTCATTCTCAGTCTTTCTTATTCCCAGCTCACGCTCATTTGCATTTTCCCAACACATGTCCCAAGAAAGCCCAGTATAGATATGTTCTAATGTTGATGTTTTTCTTACATAAGAGTGAGTATGTGTAGAGTTAAATGATTTGAAAAGCAAAGTCTTGGGAATTTAAAGTAAATAAAGGCTGAAAAATTTTTTTCTTGGACCACACAGAATCGAAGGCTTTGAAAACATGCAAAACACAAATACAAAACCCACATAAAGTGTTTTACGTTTTTCTATTTCCAAATAGTCTGCAAATAAAATTATCCTATGATTTGCTGAGTTGTATTAAAACTCCTTATAGAACATAATTATTTACCCATTCTCTGACATTAAAAACAACCATTTATTTGCTAACACTTTATAATTTAACCCAGTGAAAGCATTTTCTAGGTAATGATAAAAAAAAATCTCTTTCAGCACCTTGTCACCTTGGAGCTAATCAACTGCCAACAGTGCAACATAACATTTTAGGTCAAGAGTTCAATCAAGCTGAAGGTAGTCTCTCGAAACGGTATACAAGCTGCCATCAGACAGACAAGTGAGGCATCTAATTCATCTATGATTAAAGCACTAGGTTTGTCACAGTACTATTAACCTTCTTCTTCCTTCACAAAAACCAAAAAAAGAAAAGGCACTGGGCTACTTCTATATATAGACACCAATGGGGAACACTAAAGAATAGTAATGTCTAAGGTTATTTTTCCTTTTAAATTGTCTTTAATAAAGTACAGAAAATGACAAATTAAGTATATAACAATGAATTTGAAAAGTGAACATGGCCCACATAACTAACACCCAGATCAAGAACTATAGGGTGTGGGGTAGTGGCTAGGAAAAAATAGTTACTTTGGATTAGGAAGGAGAGAGTGAAGGGAGGGGGTATGGGGATAGTAAGGACAGTAGAATGAATTGGACATTATTACCCCATGTGCATATATGATTACACGACTGGTGTGATTCTCCATCATGTACAATGAGAAGTTATACTCCATTTACGTATGATGTGTCAAATGTATTCTACTAATTAGAACAAATTTTTTTTTAAAACCCCAACTATGGTGCTGGGGATATAGCTCAGTTGGTAGAGTGCTTGCCTTGCATGCATAAGGCCTTGGGTTTGATCCCTAGTACCATAAAACAAACAAACAAAACCCGAACTGTATGTTTCCAGAAGGTATCCCTTCCTAGTCACTGCTCAACCCTGGAGTAACAGCTAACTCAGTCCCCCAAAGAACCAAGAAAAAATTAAAATTTTTGGTTGTTTCAAAAAACAAACTCACTGACCAACCAAACCAAACCAAATCAAAACAACCATGAGTATCAAAACAGCTTGGCAAAATGATATCTTTGAGTCTCATAGTCTGAAGTTAGGATATGCCTACTTTTACTGCTACTGAAGATATGTTTGCAGACATAAGGATAGAAAGGTGGGTGAAGGGGTGAAGACACTACCTTTCACTAAGCCTCCATTCTAAGCACCAGGTACTGAGCTAGCAACAATTGTTGAGGTAGGTTTCATAAATGAGGCTGAAGGAATAGCAACTTTCCCAATGTCAGTCACATGGCAAAATAGTAAAGTTAGCAACCCATTACAAACCTTATGTTTATTCTACCACATCAAAGGCCCTCAAGTTACCTCTGCCACCTACAGGGTTCCTTA